GTTGGGGATACAGTGGTGTTAGCTGGTTCCTACCTTCATGGAGCTTACCCTCAAGAGTGCTCTCTCTATCCCTGTAAAATTCTCAGAGTTAGGCTTCATCATCAATATGTTACAAATTCATTAGCAATTTTTCCTAATGTAGCTGTTAAGTGCCTGTGCTCTGAAGCCAGACTGCCTAGATTCAAATCCTTGCTCTGCTACTAACTAGTTATATATATATTTGGGCAAGTAACTTAACCTCTGTGTTACTTGGGCAAGTAACTTAACTTTGACATCCCTGACTATGAAATGGGAAAAAGAATAGTATCTACCTCATAGGGTTGTTGTAAGATTTAACTGAGTTAGTAAGCATATATAAAGACCTCAGGACAGGGCCTGGTCCATGGTAAATGTTCATTAAATGTTATCTATTATTATTATTGTTCTATAAACATTTCCTGAGCCCCAATTCTGTGTCAGGTCCAAGTGAGATAGATAGAATGAGACAGGGTCTGGAAGACTGACTCCTAAACAGACTGTTGTGAAATGTGAGAGGAGCTGTGGTAGAGGGAAACCCAGGGGCTGCAGGAGCCTAGAGGGGCCCAAACCTAGCCTGGGGGTCAGGGGACTCTTCCCAGAGAGGCTGGGGTTGTGTCACCAGGTTGTGGTCTATTGCACTTGGGCGACACTAATATCCCCCACAGATAGGGGCTAGGAAGTGTTAATAGGCTGCCATGAGTGTGCCTTGTTGTAAGAGAGGCCAAGTGGTAACTTGTCAATTGTAGTATCACTTAATCTGTGATGAGCCTACACATTTGGTTTTTGTGGTTTCAAATTTTCCTTTGCAATTATGAAATGGTACAGCATATCTCATGTGGAAAAAATGGATTACAGCTTGGATTTCTTTGTTGTTTTGGGAATCAGTAAAAGGGGTTTTCAATAGAAATCCAGCTGAAAGCTTTCAAAATTTGAGTTCTTGTTTGTTAGTTGAAGAATAAGTACAGGCATCGGAAATAACCTAAATACCCAGTAGTAAGGGAATAGTAAAATGGATATATAATAATTAAGTAAATTGTGGTATATTTATAAAATTGAATATGATGCAACTACTAATATTTTTACAAGGATTTTTTTTTTCCTGAGGAAGATTAGCCCTAAGCTAACATCTGTTGCCAATCCTCCTCTTTTTGCTGAGGAAGATTGGCCCTGGGCTAACATCCATGCCCATCTTCCTCTACTTTATATGGGATGCCAGCAAAGAATGGCCTGGTAAGTGGTGCGTAGGTCCGCGCCCGGGATCCGAACCTGTGAACCCCAGGCTGCTGAAGCGGAGTGTGCAAACTTAACCTCTTCACCACTGGGCCGGCCCCACAAAGATTATATTTTAATGGCATGAGAAATGCTTATGAAAGAATATGAAATATAAGGCAATATTAGCTCTATTATGTAAAAATATTCATAGATAAAATGCTCAAAGAAAATATACTTAAATGTTGACAGTGGTTATTGCTAGTTGGTGGGATTATGAGTGATTTATTTTTTGATATATTCTAAATTTTCCAACATAAGAATGTATTACTTTTTTTTAAAACAGCTTTAAGATATAATTCACATACCATACAGTTCAGCCATTTAGAATATTTAGTGTACAATTTAAAGTATATGATTCAATGGGTTTTTTTGCATATTCATGGAGTTGTGCAACCTATTACCACAATCTAATTTTGGAACACTTTCATCATCCCCAAAGAAACCACGTACCCAGTTAACAGTCACTCCCCATTCCCACTCCCCTCTCAGCCAACTGCTAATTCACGTTCTGTCTCCATAGATTTGCCTATCCTGGATGTTTTATATAAATGGAATCATACAATATGTACCCTTTTGTGTTTGCCTTCTTTGATGTAGCATAACGTTTTCAAGGTTCATCCATGTTGTATCATGTATCAATATTTCATTCCTTTTTTATTGCCAAATAATATTCCATTGTATGGACATTCCACATTTTATTAATTATCATTAATCAGTTGATGGAATTTGGTTTGTTTCCATTCTTTGGCTGTTATGAATAATGCTGCTGTGTACATTCTTGTACAAGTCTTTACAGATGTATGTTTTCAATTCTTTTGGTATATACCTAGTAGTAGAATTGCTAGATCATATAGTAACTCTGTCTAGCATTTTGAGGAACTGCCAAACTGTTTCCCAAAGCAGCTATATCATTTTACATACCAGCAATGGGTGAGAGTTCCAATTTCTCCACATCTTTGTCAACATGTTATTGTTTGTGTTTTTGATTATAGCCATCCTAGTGTATATGAAGTGGCATCTCATTGTGGTTTTGATTTGCATTTCTCTAATAGCAAGCATGAACATTTTTTCATGAGTTTATTGGCCATTCGTCTATCTTCCTTAGAGAAATGTCTATGCAGATGCTTTGCCCATTTTTAAATTGTGTTGTGTTTTTATTGAGTGGTAAGAGTTCATTATATATTCTGAATACAAGTCTCTTATCAGATATATGATTTGCAAATATTTTCTCCCATTTTCTGGGTTGTCTTTTCATTTTCCTGATGGTATCATTTATAGTAAAAAAGTTTTTAATTTTGATGAAGTCCGACATCTATTTTTTCTTTTGTCACTTGTGACTTTGGTATTTTACATAAGCAACCATTGCCTAAACCAAGGTTACAAAGATTTACTTTTATGTCAACTTCTAAGAGTTTTATAGTTTTAGCTCCTACATTTAAGTTTATGATTCATTTTCAGTTAAATTTTGTTTATTGTAGCAGGAAGGAGTCTAATTTCATTCTTTTACATGTGGATATCCAGTTGTTCCAGCACCATTTGTTGAAAAGACTATTCTTTCTCTACTGAATTGTCTTGGCATCCTTGTTGAAAATCAATTGACTGTAAATTAAGGGTTTATTTCTGGAATCTCAATTCTATTCCATTGATCTATGTGTTTATCCCTATGCCAGTATCACACGGTCTTGATTAGTGTAGCTTTGCAGTAAGTGTTGAAACTGGGAAGTATGAATCCTCCAACTTTATTCTTCTTTTTCAAGGTGGTTTGGTTATTCTGGGTCCCTTAAATTTCCATGCATTGCTTTTATATTTAGGGGGGAAAAGTATTTTAGAAAAGAGAGAAAGGAAGATAGACATTGCTGAAAGAACTGTGAAATGTATTTTGTGCTCTCTAAGATACTACTGCAGTGCACTGTTTCTCTTGGGCAGGGAAATTTTTCTCTCCTAAATTTTGTCCTGGTCATGATAGTTTTTTTTTTTTTCTCACTGTTGATGAACAATGTGCAGGGTATTGATTCAGTCAAGGCCTCATCTCCTGCCTTGAGTCATCTGGCTGGGTCAGGGGTTCTTTCCACTTAGAGGCTCCCACAACACCATAATTTTTGGTTTACTCTTAGCAAATATTATCACCCTCCATTGTTGTGGTCTGTTTTCATTGCAGTCTCATCAGCAAATCATTTTTGAGTATGTATTTCTGCATATTCATTTTGAGTATACAAATATATGTATATTTATTCATTTATAAATTATATACACTTATGATTGTTATATATATTAAAAACATACACAAAACAGAAATTTTAGAGGATGAGATTAAAAATGATTAGAAGTTTTCCCACACCTGAATGGTTTTTATTGATCTCTCTGGAGACTGCCCTCTTAGATCTTTCCATTTACCTCCACGTGTTCCTAGCACCCAGTCAAGGGCTGGGTACACAGCTGAAGCTCAATGTCTGCTATTCAAAAGAAGAATTTCATATATCCCACTATTTCTATGAAAATACACTGCCTCTATTCCTAGGGTTTGCATGGTGCAAGTAAAGGTTTTGCATCTACCAGTGGCTAGGCTCACTTGGTAGAGAGGCTATGGGCTCCCCATCTCTCCTTGTTTTCTTTTTCACCTTTGATTACAACTTATCTGACTTATTTCTTTAGAAAATAGCAATTGTATCATCCTTAACTATACTCTTCATTTCAGACTGAGTAGTCAGGCAGAGTCCTGGGTGCTAGGACCATGAAGAATGGAAAGCAAGCTTTTTGATCAGGATGTATCACGGGGTGATGTGACAAAGGGCAAGGGAGGTCTTGGGGGTGAGAGTCAGGGAGGGCTTCAGGGAGCTGGATTTAAAGGGCCAGTGGGAGTTAGCCAAATGGCCAGAGAGGAAGGCGATCCCAGCTGAACCGGAGGAGCAAAGGCAGGCAGAGTGGAGTGGACCCAGCATATTCTGAGCTAGGGAAGTTTGGTGTAGCTGAACACAAGGGCAGGGGAGGTTGCGTTTGTGTTTAAAAAGATCCCTCCCGCAGCTCTGTGGAGCGTCAGAATCTTGAGGCTGTTGGTTGCCTGGAGAGTAGGGCACCATTATAGTTAGTGGGTAGAAACCTCGAGGGTTGGAAGCCCAAACTGAGGCAGGCAAAGTCTGCTTTAGTGCTCTGGCTGCATTCTTTTTTAGGATCTCAAAGTCCTTTTCTTTTTTTCCTTTTTGGCCAGTCCGCGTTGTTGCCCTTTCCCTCTGTTCCCAAGAGACACTTACTTATACCTTTATCAGAAAGTCACTGTTTATCTCCTGGGAGTCCCCGGTGCTGGGAGTGTTCTGTGTCTGGGCTCCGTTTGAGGCCTGCAGCCAAAAGAAGACACTGAGGTGCATCTCTTCACAGGTTTTACCAAGCCAGGGCTTGACTGAAGGCTTCATCCCACCCCCGTCCCAATAAAATGAAACCACACACACACAGCTAGAGGCTTAGACACGTCCTGACAGAAAACAGCCTTCGGGACACCAGGAACCCCGAACCTACAGCCACGGGCGTGTCCGGGCGGGGCAGGCAGCGCTGGTCACCGCCACCCGCCGTTGCGGATCACACCCCTTCCTGGGCAGGGAGGGGGCGGGGCGCCGGCGCCGGTGGGCGGGGTCTCCCGCCGGGCAGTGTTGGTGACGGCGCCAGGCCCCGCCCCTGGGGGGAGCGCGGGCGGGCCGCGAGGCGAGCGCTGGAGCAGGGCCCGAGCCGGCCTGGGAGCCTGCGGGGCCGAGCGCAGCGAGCGGAGCGCCTGGGCGGCGGCGGCGGCGCGCGCGATGCCTCCGGCCGGGGACCGCGAGGGCTACTGGGGCCCCACGACCTCCACGCTGGACTGGTGCGAGGAGAACTACGCGGTGACCTGGTACATCGCCGAGTTCTGTGAGTGCGGCTGCCGGCCCCGGGGCCCCGGCCTGAGGCGGGAGGGACGGAGGGAGGGCGGGCGCCGGTCTGAGGGGAGACGCCGGGTGAGGCAGGGAGAGGGCGGACCTGGCCGCCGGGGGAGGCAGCAGGCCTGGCCGGGGAGGCCGAGGGGGCCCCGGCCGAGGGGCAGGAACGGGAATGCTGCGGATGCGGGGGGCGGATGGGGGAGTCCGGGGTGTCGGGTGAGGAGTGCCGGGGTCTGGACAGGTTGGGGAGGGCTTGAAGATTGGGGGGCAGAAGTGGGGAGCCCCTGCTGAACCTAGGGGGAAGCCTGAGGGGCAGGGTTGGGAATGGGAATTCCTACCCGCGGGGCGGAGTGGGGGCAGGCTGGGGGCAGCCCGCGAAGAGGTTGGGAGAGGGGAGGGCTTTGCTCATTTCAGTGAGGGCCCGGACACCTGCTCCTCCTGTTGCTGCCACCGCCTTCGCCCTAAGGACACGGGAGCTGGGGACAGTGCCTAGCTTAATCTTCCCCCCCTTAGGTCTTGCCCTTTCTCTTTCTCTGTTCCTATTAGACCTCTTCGGTCACCTCCGGGAACGGTTTTCCCAGTCTCGAATCTCGACCGCCGTTGCCCACCCCACTCCCATCCTGGATATCTTCAAGTACCAGAGATCATCTACTCTCTGATTACGACTATTCATTCAACCATCTCCTTGCACCAGAAGTAGAAGGCAGAGCACCTTAGTCTGTACCTTCCTGCTCGTGCCGGGCTCCCAAGAGCACAAGGGACCAAGTCCCTGCTCCTCTCTGCCTCCTATCCGACTCCCTGAGGGTTAGGGTTCTTCTGAGGATACTTCTTCCACTGATTGCAGCTTCTGAGGACTTGGGGACGAATCCTCCTCCAGCTGCTGCCCCTGACAGGCACTGCTGGCCCCCTGGGGCTTTGTGTGTGTGTATTTCCCCTGATGATTCTTCCTGCCAGGCTAGGAGAGCACAGGAAAAATCCGCCACTCCTTTTTCTGTAGTTTACTTTGGTCAAGTTTTTTGAGAGCACGATGTTTGATCCTTCTTCAGGTACAGAGAATATTTTTTGGCTGACTATTACTGCCTTCTTTTAATTGGATCCACTTTCTCAGGACATGAAGCCAAACTCTTTTTAGCTAACCTTCTCATTGTTGGGTCCTTCTCCCAGGCAAGTGTTTGGCTTTGTAGGAAAGAGGCAAGCGTTTCATGCCAGCTGATCCTACTTTATTCTGTTCACAGTAATTGGCTAAGTTAAAAAAAAAGAAAACAACTTTTTTTTAGTTTTCGAGACTTTAGTACCGTTCCGTTTAAACCATGATTTAGGCTGAGTCACTTTTCCTGAACTACTAGTTTATTTTTTTTTTATTATTTTTTTTATTTTTTTATTTTTAATTTTTTGTTTATTGCAGTAACATTGGTTTATGACATTGTAAAAATTTCAGGTGTACATCATTGTACTTCTATTTCTGCATAGATTACATCATGTTGACCACCAAAATACTAATTACAACCCATCACCACACACATGTACCAAATTATCCCTTTCACCCTCCTCCCTCCCCCCTTCCCCTCTGGTAACCACCAATCCAATCTCTGTCCCTATGTGTTTGTTTATTGTTGTTATTATCTACTACTTAATGAAGGAAATCATGCGGTATTTGACCTTCTCCCTCTGACTTATTTCACTTTGCATTATACCCTCAATGTCCATCCATGTTGTCACAAATACCTGGATTTCATCGTTTCTTATGGCTGAGTAGTATTCCATTGTGTATATATACCACAGCTTCTTTATCCATTCGTCCCTTGATGGGCACTTAGGTTGCTTCCAAGTCTTGGCTATTGTGAATAACGCTGCAATGAACACAGGGGTGCATGTACCTTTACAAATTGGTGTTTTCAAGTTCTTTGGATAAATACCCAACAGTGGAATAGCTGGATCATATGGTAGTTCTATCCTTGATTTTTTGAGGAATCTCCATACTGTTTTCCATAGTGGCTGCACCAGTTTGCACTCCCGCCAGCCGTGTATGAGAGTTCCCTTCTCTCCACATCCTCTCCAACACTGAACTACTAGTTTAAATTAATAATTTTTACATAATAGTGGGAGAATATGGGCAAAGGGATCATTTGTAGTATAATTACTTGGCAGCCCAAATGTTGGCAAAGGAAGCACTTTACCAATTTTTATTAGATCGTATTGGCGAGCCCATGCCTGGTCCAGAGGTGGTCCATGAGCGAAGGGACTTGAAATCATGCTTTCTGAACTAGAAATGTGTAACTTGGAAAAGAGAAACTCAAGGGTCTTCAAATATTGGATAGGCTGTCATATAGAGTGGTTAAACTTTCTGTATTTCTCTAGAATGTAGAATTAGAGCCTATGGGTAGAAGCTAACTGTAAGGGGAGAGATTTTGCTTCAACATAAGGAAATTTTTTAGCTAAAGATATAATCATGGAATGGGTTGACTTGAGAGGTAGAGAGCTTTCTGTCACTGAAAGTGTTAAAACAGACATTGCTCAACTAACTCACATGAATATTTTAGGGGGAATTAATTGTTTAGTAGAGAAGAGAGGTTGGCTTTAGTTGGCCTTTAGGTCCTCTGCGGCTTTATGGGACGATATAGGCAATAATGACTCTTAGTTTAAAACCAAGGATTAGAATCAAAAGAGAAAACTGACAGTTAAGTCATGTGAGCTATGAGAGAGCAAGATACTACTGTTCTGGCAGATAGTTCTGAGAAATGGGAAATGGCTTTAGTTCTTAATGTCCAAAGAAGAGGAAACTGAGCAGACTGCAGGGAGAGTTTTGACATAGGAATCAGGGGCTCCAAGAAAAGGAGGAGTGAATGTTGGCCGCCCTTTGCACATGTACCTTGGGAGAAAATGATCTGAAGGAACTTGAGGTCGAATCTTCTTACCCAGCAAGGGGTGGTTATCTGTCATATCTTGGAGTAAGAGAATTTGTTTTTGAAAAATATGCTGATTAATAACGATGTGTTTAAAACAAATGCAACTTTATCATCATTATAATATTTACATTAATGATAGAAATATTAAGGATAATGATAATAATGATGATAATAGCTATTTCTAAGTGCTTACTTTGTATCACACTTTCCTAAGCACTTCATATGTCTTATCTCTTTCAAATTTTACCGTAATTCCAAAAAGAAGGTATTATTATCCTTATTTCACAGATTAGGAAATTGAAGCTCTAAGAAGTAACTTATCTAAGGTTGCAGAAAGTGGTGGAGAGGTAGTATTCCAGTTGAGCTCTGACTTTAAAGCTCCTATACCATATAACTTCTATCACGCATTCATTGTTTTGCCCCTGCATGCAAGGGATGAGGACAAGCATGAAATAATATAGTACTATCACAAAGGACAAGTGGAATGACTATTTAAGAAGCCTACCTTTTGGCATTAGGGTATGTGTATGTTGGGTAACGTGAAGATGAGTTTGGGGAATTGCATTTTCAGATATGGCAACAGTTCTCAGTCATTGAAAAACCTGAAAAGCTTAACATCACTGAAGATCAGTTCAAATTCCTTTGTTGTTTGAGCAGATTGTAAGGACCAGGGGAAAAGGTAGAAGGTTTCTCTTTAGTTGTGAAAGGAGCGCCTTGATGTGCCAGAAGTTATAGGTACAGGCAGTCCTCACTTTGCATGATAGTGTGGGACAGTACAAATGACCAGGCAAGTTAGAACCTGGCAAAGTGATCTTAATAATCGATGGGAAAAGGTACGATTGTTCCGTGACCTTTAAAAATTTTTGTCAAACATTGTAAACCCTCTTTTTGTTGGTTATAAATATATAGAGAAATGAAAAAAATAATAAAAGTAATATTTATTTAGTACACTGTGATTTAAAACATTAAAAACAGAATTAAAATGTTTTATTTGTAAAAGAACTGACCAAGAGTAGTTTGAACAGTGCTTGTCTTCTTGTCATGTAACTTATGATATGGAATGAGTAATTTTTTTATGCCTTGGCGAATTGTCATAGTCCTTTCTAAGTCTGGATCAGCTTCCAACATTTTATTCTTTGCGCTTTCAATATTGTGAAATATCTCCGAGAGTTCCTTTAATGCAAATTTTTTTGCTGGTGTCAGTTCTGGTGCATCTTCATCCTTTTCTCACAACCCCTTTCTTCGTTTATGTTGGTAAGTTTGCCTTCACTAAATTCCTCTGGCTGCATTTCTAGAGTCTCTCGAATGGCAGCAGAGGCAGCATTGCCATGGTCAGTTGTTTCATCTATATTCCGTTTATGTTCGGTTGGCATTTCACTTCCAACATTATCACTATTTGTTTCTTTGCTGCACCTTGATCGTTGTTGGCCAGTTCCCTCTTTCGATTATTCATTTGTGTAAAATGTCACATATGTTCATTGCCAGGAGACAAGGAGGCAACTCAGCTACATGCTTTGCTGCCCATACATGAACTAAGTGAGATGTACATGAACCGATGTGCATTGACTAATCACCAACAGACTTTGCCTTGATGTTTTATCCATAATTAGACATTAAGGCAGAGAATTATTTTTCTCTCAGCTCTTTGAAGATATTATTCCATTAAGTCCTGGCTTTTATTATTGCTGATGAGGAGACCACTGACAGCCTAATTATTATTCTTTTGCAGTTTATTTTGTCAAATCCACCAACAGACTTTGAAAGAAGTGACTTGGTTAGGGGCCGGCCTGGTGGCGCAAGCGGTTAAGTGTGAGCGCTCCACTGCGGCGGCCAGGGGTCCCCCGGTTCGGATCCCGGGCGTGCACCGTTGCACCGCTTGGCAGGCCATGCTGTGGCTGCGTCCCATATAAAGGGGAGGAAGATGGGCATGGATGTTAGCCCAGGGCCAGTCTTCCTCAGCAAAAAAATAAGAGAAGGATTGGCAGTTGTTAGCACAGGGCTGATCTCCTCACAAAAAATAAATAAAGTGTATAATTCATTTAAGAAAAAAAGAAGTGACTTGGTTAGTCACTGATCATGATGTGCT